TCACTGAGGGTACAGGTGTGCAGCTCCACACACGGCTCGATCGTTTGTTTTTTAATTTTTATTTATTTATTTATTTTTTGTTGTAGATGGACACAATACCTTTATTTATTTATTTTATCTGGTGCTGAGACTTTGAACCCTGCCTCACACATGCTAGGCAAGYGCTCTGCCACGGAGCTGCAGCCCCAGCCCTCCATCATTTATTTTYGAGCCTCCTCTCCCCTGGACTTGGGGAAGGTTCTGAGAAGGGCCCGTCTGTGCTGTCTCCCACCAGCTCCTGTGTGTGCTCGTGAGCATGTGTGCTCTCTCAGGGTCTCGCTCCACCCAGGGAGAGTGGAGTCCAGTCCCCACTCCCACGGGAGCAGGTAAAGGGGACACAGTGGTCAGGCAGAGCYGGTCTCTACTTGCACAGGTGAGGGATGGAGGCCATGAGCCAGTCCCCCACYGCCTCTGAGCTGGGTCCTGTGGGCAGAGTCGTGGCTGGAGGTGTGGGGTGTGCGCAGCTCCGACGGCTGGTCACTCAGTGCTGACCTGAGAGCCAGGTTCTAGGCCTGCCGCCACCAGTTCTCTGTGGAGGCCGACACTGCCGCTCCCGCCCGCAGCCTCCTCAGTGGCAGGTTAGACCAGGCCGTCTCTGGTTTGGTGTAGCCTTGGCTCCTAGATACAGCGAGCCCCCAAGAGCTTCCGCGCCACCCCCRTCCAGTGCAGGCGCTGAACTAAGGTCGCTCGTGTGAATTTGGGGTGATGCAAAATAAACACAGACACAGATTACCTTTACACAGGCTTCAGGACGGCTTCCCCCGGCCTCGGCCTCAAGCTCCCTTGAGCAAGAGAAAGTCACTAGAGGCTGACAGAGAGGGAAGCACATTCGGAGGTGAGCTTTTATTTGGGGGGGGACACTGTTCTTAGAAAGTCCTGTCCATAAAGGACGACAAGGGACAGGTGAGTRTGACTCAGCCCCAGGGGTAGCCTCCACTGAAGACCGCCTTGCTCTCCAGCTGGGACCTGAACTGATTGGCCAGCGCCTGTGCTTCAGGACAGGGAGGCGTGGTCCTCAGAGTGCCCCCGCCCTACTGCCTTGGGTTTGTGAAATCCCAGGTCCTCCCCGACCCACGTGTCCCCAGCAGCCCTGGCTCTTACTGAGCTCTGTAAGAGCAGAGGCCTGGCCTGGGCTTGTGCCCACCTGGGCACTGACACGCTCACCTGGGCACTGTCCACCAGGCAGCTCGTGAAGCCTCCTGGGGCTCTGCCAGGACACCGTGATTGTCCGCATTTGGCAGGGGGCGTTGGTCAGCACCCGCTAGCAGCTGGCTCTGCGGGACTCAAAACCAGGCTGAGTCCAAGCCCGGAGCCTGGGTTGCTGCCTGGCAGACAATGTTTTAAAGTGTCCTGGTAAAAAGAAATCACGCTTTATGGGCCAACTAAAGTGCCCCTTGACCACTCTTTTAACTCAAGTGTCCAATTCCTGGAAGGTGGCCCCTGGAGGAGACCCTGTCCTTGCCATTCCTGTGTGTGTAAAATTACGATTGTGAGAGTGGAAATCCAGTGCACATTGGCTCAAACTGAGGAGGAGAATGTTCTACTGACAGGACTAGCCCAGGAGCGATCTGGCTTCAGGTCCAGTGGGGCTCAGGTGCAAAGACCAGCCACCCGGTCTCTTTCTCTCCAGCTGTTGGYAACACTTGACGTGGGGCCAGCTTCATCCTGGCAGGTCCCTGCTTCTGGTTCACAGCTCAGTGACCCCAGGAGAAAGCGCGTGCCTCTGCCTGGCCTGGCYTGGGTGATGTCCCTTCCTGACCTCGTCACCGTGGCCAAGGGAATGCAGTCATCAGCCAGACCTGAACTGAGTGTCTACCCTGGAAGCCCGCCGTGGGGTCAGTGTCGGGGGTGGAACCGGGTGTTGTCAACAGAGAAGGAAGGAGGGACGTGGCGGGAAAACCCAGACCAGCCTGTCTCTGCTGGAGGACACGACACGTCCCCTCGGACCCTTTCTGCTGCCACAGAGGGCGCCCACCTTGCTGTGTCCTCAGAGAGCTGCCCGTCAGTGGAGGTCAAGGCCACATGGGCCCAAGGGGGTGGGGCCCTGGGAGCAAGGACGGCAGAGGAGGTGGTTAGGAGCCTGAGCCTCCCTTGCCCTCACCCGGCCCGGGTCCTCCCTGGACACCACACCTGAGCTCGGGGCCTGGCTGAGACCCTCCCCGGACTGAATCCCACAGCAGCCGGCAGCCTGGGCCTGGGTACACCCTCCCCACGGAGGAGGAGCGCGAGGCTCGGGGAGGTGACCTGTCCTGCTGGCATGTGGCAGGGCTGGGAGGGGAACCCAGGAGTGTCAGCAGGGTCCTTGTCCCCCAGGCTGCCCACACCAAGTCCTGATCTGAAGGGAAACTGTGAAGCATGTGGCCTGGGGACTCTGTGACTGTGGGGTCGGGATCTGTCCAATCTCGAGAGGTGGGGGTCCTGATAAAGAGGGAGGGGCCAGGCCCCAGGCTGCATCCTGGCCTCGCAGCCATGCTGCTGGCCTTGAGCGTAAGAGGGCCACAGGGTCATGCTCCCTGAATGTCCCTCCCTCCCGGCCCCTGGGTGGATCCTGCACAAAGAAACCCCCTGCTCATCCCGTCAGAGAAAGGCTCCCAATGCGTGGCCCTCACTGCCGCCTCACTGCTGCTGTGGGGCCCCTCGGCCCAGGGCTCCCTCTGCCTGTCCTGTGCCCTCACCCTCACAGTCCCCAGGACACTCCCAGTCCCCACACATGGCTCCCCTGGTCTCAGTCTGCTTTCCACCCCACGAAGTGACCAGAAGTAAGGCCAAGTGGCCGAGGAGGGCCCCTCTGAGAAGGGGCCCCGTGAAGCCATGGCTGCAGGACGTCGGTGCACGGAGAGGGACGCAGCCCTGGGCCCCAGGTCAGGCCCTGGGTCCTCATCCCCACTGTGCCTCTGATCCTCTGTGACGTGAGGAAGTCGCTCTGTGCCGCAGCCTCGGCTTCTCCACCTGGGACTTGCGGACAGACCGTCTCCCTTCTCGGGGTGGTTCCAGGGCGGAGCGTGGTGGGACCAACAGAGCAACAGTCCCGGGTGTCCTGACCCACCTGCGAGTGTGCCCGCGGTGGGAAGCCGTCTTTRCGGAGGTGATTAAGGGTCCTGAGATGAGAGACTCGTCCCGATGACCCAGCTGGGCTGTGAATCTGATGGCTGGACAAGGGGGTGAGAAGGCGGCAGAGGGGCACAGGGCGGGCACAGGGCAGCCTCAGGCCCCGCCGTGCCCGGAGCCAACAGGGGCCAAAAGAGGCGGGAAGGGTCCTCCTGGGGCCTGAGAAGAGAACGCCGTCCTGCTGGGACCTGGACGCTGGACTCCTGCCTCTGCAACTGTGAGCGAAGGTCGGTGTTCGGCCACCGAGTCTGTGGCGGTCTGTTTGGCAGCCACAGGAGGTTGACACGAGCCTGGCTARGAACTGGCCGCCGTCTCTCCTCTCCCTTTGCTGGAAGGAGACTGGGGGGGATTCGCGTCCCTCCAGAAGGTGACGAAAGTGCAGACGCTGCCCGCAGGGAGCAGAGGGAGCTGTGAGGCCCCCGACCGAGGCCCGAGGCCCTGCTCTTCCCTTGCCTGAGTCCCCTTCCCTCTCCCTGTCCCCATCAGGACCCCTGGCTCCCCAAGGGCCCAGCGCTGGCACTCGGGGAGCCACTCGGCGTGGAGGCCGGGTTCGTGGGGCTTGCTGTGGACCGGGTCTGACCACCCCCATGACTGCTTTTGGGMCACGGTCAGCCAGGGCTGGCCTGAGCGAGGCTGGACACGGCAGCCCAGAGAGGGCCAGAGGGGCTCTTCCTGGGGAAGCAGACGCGGATGCGGGCCCTGAGGGGTGCCGACCACCAGCTTAGAAAGCTGCTCCCTGTGCTGGGGCCCGGCCCCAGTGTCCACACTCCCCGCGGTGGGTCCAGGCCGTGTCCACCGCCTCRCCCTGCTCACCCTTGCCTCTTACCTGAGATGAATCATGGGAGTGGGGGTCCTCCCAACAGGGAACCGCGGAAGGGCCCAAAGTGACAATGGTTAACTCACTTGCTGGCCACGGGGCCGCAAGCCTGGAGGCAGGAGGAGGTGGCAGGGGTGTTCCAGGCCCGGTTGACAAGGACCAGGACTTGTGCCACAGCTGCCAAGCCCATTTAGGAGACCAGGAGCATGCTTGGAGCCTGAGGTCACTYGGGTATTGGGATGTGGCCAACTTGGCCCCATACACAGCTTCTATTCCTGGGTCATGGGCTCCGGCACCATATATGGTGCCACCCGAGCCTGGCACCCCCAGCCATGGTCAGGCGAGGGTGCGGGCAGCATTTCCTATCCCCATGTCAGACCTAGCCCCCGCCCACCCCGCGGTGGACTCAGATCCTTCTGGCACGGGGGTCCCAAGCAGCCAGGCCTTGCTTGAGGCTTCCTGGCTGTCCATCTACCTGTGTGTCCCACCCAGTAGTGTGGCCCACATTAGGTTAAAAATGCTCAGGACCAAACCAGCCTCCTTCTTGAGATGAGCTCTGGCTGCCTTGCCCAGGCTGATCTTGAACTCTTGGCCCCTGCGCCCAGCTCTGACTTCTAAAGCATCTCTCTGGCTGCCAGGTGTGAGCCAGTCAATGAGAGCGCGAGATGATGAGCCAGTGAACTGACTTCCTTTGTGCATACTGTGTGCTGGCGCCCTGCTGGGCACTGGGGAGAAAGGGTCCCCCACACTCCACTCTTGTGCCATGGGTCTTGTGGAGCTGCAGACCCGCCTCTGCCTCCTCCATCCAACACACTCTGCCTTCTCACCCTGGTGCTCCGTCATTGATCCTGTTGTCCCATCTGTTTCCAAATGTCCCCCACCAGGCCCAGAGCTTCTGCAGGGGAGCCTCTGTCTAATTCCTTCCTGCTCCCAGGCGCAGCACAGGGCCTGACCCTGCAAGCGTTCCCTGCGGGGCTGAGCAAGGGAACAGACAGCCTGCAGCCCTCCTCATTCTGTCTCTTGCCATCTTTTGCAGATGAACGTGCAGGCGTCAAGAGTGTGTGGAAAGGCCACGGTCCCATTGTCGGAGAAGGCCAGCTGCTGAGCCGGGCATGTCTCCAGGAGGCCTGCAGACTGCGCAGATCCCCGCCTCTCTGCAGTGGGCTGCCCAGGCTGGTCAGTTGCAACCAGAGAAGTGGTCCAGCTTCCCTGCCCTCCACCCCAGGGAGTCCAGCCTATTGCTCAAGCCCCAGGCTCCCAGCACCACCCTCATGTGGTGGGGCAGCCACTTGAAGTTTCCAGTTGTCCTARGAGGGAGCTGATTCCCAGCTCCTATTAGCACCCAGCCTGAGCCATCTCTCTACCCCTTGTGCCCATGTTTCTTAGCCCTTAAAGAAAAGTGATGCAAGTGTTCCTGGGACTTTCCAAGGGTTGTGAACGTGTGTGGAATAAGGAGGTCAGTTGCTGTCAGTAGTGACTATGGAACAGGGCACTGTGGCCAAGTGCCTCTCACACTGGGCACCTTCCCGTGCCCTCTCCAGGCAGGTGGTGCAGCTGTGAGCTCCTGGTCCCCAGCCTTGCCACTTGTGGCTCTGGGACTCCAGGTGAGGTTTGGAGATCGTGCCTCCCTTTCCTCATCTGGAAGATGGAGATGAGCATGGCCCCCACATGGAAGAAGTCGCTTGGCCTGTAGGGGAAGATTCGTGTCTACTGAATGTATAAAAGAATGGGACTCTCCAGTGGCCTCCAGTGCTCCTGTCCTGCAGATGGGAGACYGAGGCTCCGAGTTCAGTGACTTGCCCAGGTCTCACTGCCAGCTCAGGCAGGGTTGGGCGCCCTGTGCCTCCCAGGTGCTCACACGGCCCTGCCCTGGGGAACAGGGCTCAAGCCTGTCTTGTTCTCCCAGCCACTTGTTTCAGCAACTGGCCATATGAAGGTCACCAGGGAAGAGTGAGGGTCCAGAGGCAGTAGTACCARTAAAGGTTACAGGCTGTGGCCTGAGCTGCCATCTTCACGCTCAGCATCCGCGAGGCCTGTGGGGATCTGCCCTGGTCATGCATCTAAGGGCAGCCTGAGCTGGCTCTCACAGGACAGGCTGCCCACCCCAGCAGGCCCAGGGAGGCAGACCTCACCAGGCAGAGGCCTGGGTGTCAGGTAGCAAGGCCATCACTTCTGAGAGTCCTGGCATGGCTACACACCATCCTCCGGGGTCTCGGGTTTGTTACAGAGAGCAAGTCTGTGGCCCACTGCTCCCAACCCAGGTGAGCAGCCGGTGGCTGGGATCCACCTAGACGCTGGGCTTGGAAACTGACAGCCGCAGGAAGCCCTTCTCTAGCAGGTCGGGGATGCGCGTGGCCTGCCTGAATGATGGTGCTCATCTCTTGCAGACCAGCCGGTTCCCACGGGAGGCTCCTTGTGTGATCGGGGAGACCATGCCCAAGCCCTCCGACTGCCTGCTGCGGCTCCTCCGGGGCACCCCCAGGCAGCGGGTCTGCACCCTGTTCATCATCGGCTTCAAGTTCACGTTTTTTGTCTCTGTCATGATCTACTGGCATGTTGTGGGAGAGCCCAAGGACCAAGGGCAGCTCTATAGGCTGCCTGTGGACATCCCCTGCCCCCCACTCACGCCCCCAGCCCCGTCCTCCAGCACCCCCCCTCCAGGCAACATCTTCTTCCTGGAGACCTCAGACCGGACCAACCCCAACTTCCTGTTCATGTGCTCCGTGGAGTCGGCCGCCAGGACCCACCCCGAGTCCCAGGTGGTGGTCCTGATGAAGGGGCTGCCTGGTGGCCATGCGCCCCTGCCCCGGCACCTGGGCCTCTCGCTTCTGGGCTGCTTCCCCAACGTGCAGCTGCTCCCGCTGGACCTGGAGGAGCTGTTCCGGGACACGCCGCTGGCAGCCTGGTACCGGGCCGTGCGGCGGCGCTGGGAGCCCTACCTGCTGCCCGTGCTCTCCGACGCCTCCAGGATCGCGCTGCTCTGGAAGTTCGGCGGCATCTACCTGGACACGGACTTCATCGTCCTCAAGAACCTAAGGAACCTGACCAACGTGCTGGGCACCCAGTCCCGCTATGTCCTCAACGGGGCCTTCCTGGCCTTCGAGCGGCAGCACGAGTTCCTGGCTCTGTGCATGCGGGACTTCGTGGCCCACTACAACGGCTGGATATGGGGCCACCAGGGGCCCCAGCTGCTCACGCGGGTCTTCAAGAAGTGGTGCTCCATCCGTAGCCTGGGGGAGAGCCACACCTGCCGCGGGGTCACYGCCCTGCCCCGGGAGGCCTTCTACCCCGTCCCCTGGCAGAGCTGGAAGAGGTACTTTGAGGAGATCAGGCCCGAGGAGCTGACCCGGCTGCTCAATGCCACCTACGCTGTCCACGTGTGGAACAAGAAGAGCCAGGGCACGCGCTTCGAGGCCACGTCCAGGGCACTGCTGGCCCAGCTCCACGCCCGCTACTGCCCCACGACACACGAGATCATGAAGATGTACTTGTGAGGAGCTGGCCTGGCGCCTCTCCTGGAGGTGGGCGGGCAGGAGAGGGAGGTCCGAGCAGCCACAGCCGGGCGTGGGGCAGGCTGAGGCCTGAGCACGTTCCACAGGCCCCGCAGCTGCTCCAGGCCGGGGTAAGCCTGGTGGGAACCCCCTCGGCCGGCGCCCTGGCTCGGGTCAGAGGCCCACAGAGGATTCCAGAACCRTCGGGAGTGCCCGGTGAGCCCGGCAGGCTGTCCAGACACGTGGCAAGAAGAGTGCACCTCCCACCTGGAACGGCAGAGCAACTTCCTGGGTGACACCCGGAGCCCAGCCAGTGGGGGCTGAGGGCCCCTGAGGGGAGCTCCGGGAAACCTGAGCCGAGGGGACAAGGAAGGAGGGACGGGCTCCCGGGCAGAGCAGAGGCGGCCACACAGAGAGCGCAGGTGCAGATCCAGGCATGGGGGGTTTCTTTGGGGAGGACTGAGGGGGCAGCGCTGGACTGGGGGCTCCATCCTCTCTCACCCAGGGATGTTGCTCAGGTGACCTGTGCCAGCTGCCCGCTTCATGGGCACCGGGCTGAGGAAGTCTTTTGATTCAGGGGAAGAATTTGAAAGACCCTCCTATAAACTCAGGAGAATAATTATAATAAACGTGGCTCGTTKTCCAGTGCCTCGTGGTCCTTGTGCCTTCATGCATGCAGCCCGGGAAGCCGCGGGGGTCATGCAGCCGCCGACAGTGGCCTCCAGGTCAGCCCCCGGGTGATGGGGGGTCACTGAGCTTCGGGTGGGAGGAGTCCATGTCCCCCTTTATTTTCCCAGACACAAACAGTCTAGGTTGAGTCCCCGAGCCCCTCCCATTTCCACCCCATAATAAGCCTGAATCTGTTTTAAGTTAAATGGGGCTAAATGAGGATACCAGACCCCCTGGTGGGAGTCACAGCGGGGGGGGGGGGGGGGGGGGGGGGGAAACTATGAGGGTCTACGGGGGTCCACAGGACTCTCCGTGGAGCCTGGGTGAGGTCCAGGGAGCGCCGTAGTGTCCTGCTGGGTGGCCTAGGTCTGAGCCAGAGGAGGACTCTCTGCAGGGCCGGGCCCCAGCTGGCTCACATTGTGGGCTTGGCCTCTGAGGGCTGGGCATTCCTTCCAGGCAGGAGAAGCACCCCCAGGAGGCCTGGGGTGCTGCCAGCAGCCCTGGGACAGTGGGCTGCTCTTCAGTGGTGGGAGGAGAGGCGTTCTGGGGCCTCTGGACTCCACCTGCCCACTGGGGGGTGACACCTTGAGGAGCCAGCTGCCAGCTCTAGGGGGTTCAGGAGCAGGAGATTTATCTATCTATCTTACGAAGACAATGGATTCTAAGCCAATTATTTCTCCAACTACAATATCATTTTATCTAAATTTTAATAATGTTTTAGAATTACCAGTTTTACTTTAATACGACAGGTCATTCGTGTGACCATATCTTGGACAAGTGAGACGGTCTCTTAGGGTCTGGCATTGCTCTTTCACGACTCCCCGTGGGCCACGGAGCAGGAGTAGCTCCCGAGCCCAGCATCGAAGGCCCCAAGACGAGGCCCCRCCTCCCTCTCAGGCCACACCCAACTTAATTTTGCTACCTTCACTTCACCCTAGGAGTGTGTGGGTGCTCGATGCTTGAGCCATGTGGCTGGCGATGCCCCCTCAGCCATCTTCACCAACCAATGCCTGTTCCTCCCCACAGTGCCGGGGTCTCCTCCAGGAAGCCTCCCGAGTACCCCTCCTCCCGCCCCACAGCTCATCGTCCATGACTGTTGGGTTCTTGGCCTGTCCCCACCAAGATCTTGAAGGGGAGAGTCGGCTGGGGTCATTCCTGGAGGTGGGCTCAGGATCCTACTGTGGGGGCCAGGCATTCATGCAGCTATGTGGGCGCCTGTCTGTCCCTGCAGAGCTGAGGACCCAGAAGGGACAGCCCTGGCCTGTCTCTACCCAGAGAGTGCCAGGAAGAGATCCTTGGCCCCTGACCCAGAGAGGCAGCCAGAGCAGGCAGCCGCAACCCCATCTGTGCGACTGCAGGCGGCCAAGAGTGTGCAGGCCTTCCCAGAGGACCGTGACCTGGAAATAGGATCCAGGAGGCAGCCTTGGCCCCAGACCCTCCTCGMATCCTGCCAGGCAGGGCCCCGTCCAAGACCAGGAGGGAGAACTCTCGATGCTCCTGGCAGCCACCTCTGAGAAACGGGGCAGCACGGGGGCAGGGGAGGAGGCTGCCTTTCTCCCTTCCAAGTTCTGGTGAGGCTGTTCCATCCAGCAGCCTGGATGGTGAGGGTGCCACCCTGCCCTGCCTGCCCCATGCAGGCCTCTGGATGCAGCTGCTGTAAGGATTGAGGTGGGAGACTGAGCRGAGGGGAGGGTGGGGCTGAGGAACAGGAGAAAGGCTGGTTGCCCTCCAGGCTGGGGGGAGCCCAGCATCCTCACCCCAGCCCGCCCGAGGCCCCCACCCAACATTATGCTATATTCTTGCACCTCATCTGGGCTGGGAGAAACTCCGGGCTGGTGTCCAAAGGAGGGCAGGGGACCCAGAGATCCTCTTTGCCTCTCTCCTTGTCTCTGAGCCCTGGCCAGGGCTCTGCCTGGCTTCTCTTTTGCACGGAACAGGGTTGTGACTATCAAATGAACCAAGTGGCGTGGAACCAAGTGAATGGCCTSTGAAGACAATGGATTCTAAGCCAGTCATTTCTCCAACTACAATGTCATTTTACCTCTTTTTTTTTTTAAAGAGAGAGAGAGAGAGAATTTTAATATTTATTTTTTAGTTCTCGGCGGACACAACATCTTTGTATRTGGTGCTGAGGATCGAACCCAGGCCTCACGCATGCCAAGCGAGTGTGCTACGGCTTAAGCCACATCCTCAGCCCCATTTTACCTCTTTTAATAACTTTTTAGTTATTAAAAGTGTTATCTTTGCCCCYCACTTACCATGTGGGGAAACTGAGACTACTAAACTAGGTGGTAGTGTCTGGATTCGAACCCAGGCCTTGGCTTTCTGAGCTCAGGGCAGCAAGAAGGCTGGCTGGGATGAGTCCAGAGCCAGCCTGGGGTAGGGGCATAACTCCTCACCACCTCCCCGCCCAAGTCCCACGGCCCAGAGTCCCGTGTCCTCCCTGAGCCCCCACAGCAGCCGAGGGGTCTGACCCCTGTCCTTCCTGGGCCTGACTCCTCCAGCCCCATCCCAGCTCGCCTTGCCTGACCCTGGCAGCCTCGGCCGCTGCCTCTGGGGAAGGAGCTGGAACATTGGCTCCACACTGAGTTCTGGGAGAGGAGAGGGGGACGGGCTCAGGGGGACGGCCCTGAGACGGCCTCAGACCCTTTGCTAGTTTCTCGGCTTGTTTCCGGGGACTGTGTTCAGAGGTCTTTGTCCAAGACTGAGGAGGACGGTGCGGACCTTCCCTCTTCGGGGGCGCTGAGCGGCCGGCAGGGGCTCGAGCCGCCAGGCTATCAGCGAGCCGTCCAGGCTGGCCGAGCCGGGGAGGACAGAAGTCGGCTTCCCGGCAGGATGGGGACAGGGAGATCATTTCCTCCCACGGCGAATCCATATTCAACTTCTTGATTAAATATTAAATTGGAAGGTCCCCTCTCTGAGCACCCAAGAGAGGCTGAGACTGGGCGAGCGTGGGCCCTGTCCCTGAAAGTCCGGCTTCGTGGTTCGCTTGTYCGGACCCGGGCCAGCCCGACACAAGGCATGCTGGGAATTCTGCTGTGAGGTTGAAGGTCGGAAGGGGCCAGGCTGGGGGCCCTGACTCAGGAGTGAGCTGAGCTTCTGCAGGGGGGTGGGTAGGGGTAGAGTGCTCACCTCCAGGGAAGCCATGACAGGAGGAAGCCAGGGAGGTCGTATGGAGTGGAGGCAAACGGTCCTGAAGTCTGTCCTCACGGCCCTGGCCCACCTGCCCAAATCAGCTCCTCCCAGCCCCCGCCAACGTCCAAGGAGAGACTCAAGATCAAACAGGAGACCTGCCGCTGAGTGGCGGAAGTCACTTATGTAGGTTAAAGTACAGCAAAAAGACCCCGAATCAAAAGGCTTAAATAATGKAGAATAATGCCTCATAGCCCAGTCCCAGGGGCAGCGCTCCAGGGCAGTGGGGCCCTGGCCACCCCCACATGTGGTTTGCAAAGTGCTCTGGTGGCTGCTGCTTCCCAGCTAATGGGGAGGAGGGGCGAGTGTCCAAGGCTAATGGGCAAAYGTCTATTTTGAGATGGACTCACTACGGTGCCCAGGCTGCTATCAAACCCCTGCTCTCAGGGATCTTCCTCCCGCACCTTCTGAGTAGCTGGGATCCCAGGCCTGGGCCGCCATGCCTGGCTTCAAGACAAACGTCTTTAGCGAGATACTCTGGAGGCTTTACTTGTCACTTCTATTAACGTCCTACAGGCAGCAGGTACTGGGGATGGTGCCCAGCACCGCACACACGCTGGGCAAGCACTCTGCCACTGGGCCACGGCTGGGCAAGCACTCTGCCACTGGGCCACGGCCCCAGTCCTTTTTATCTTTTGACTCAGGGCCTCATGATCCTCCTGCCTCAGCCTCCCTAGTAGCTGGGATCCCAGGCCTGGGCCACCAGGCCCAGCTGGTTGTCATTTCTTGATCCGATGCTGGTGATGCTTGTCTCTTGGTGGGAATTCACTGCTCTCGCACGCAGGGTCTGTGCATTTCCATCACATACATGACAACAGCACAGTGGCACACGCCTGTCATCCTAGGTACTCAAGAGGCTGGGGCAGGAGGATCGCAAGTTCAAGGCRACCAAGTGAGAAAACCTGTCTCAAAAAGAAAAGATAGAAAGAGCCGTAGCTCAGAGGTAGAGTAGCCCTGGGCTTGATTCCCAGTCCTGCAAAAATAAACGAGCGAATAGATAAACAAATAACATAAACATGGAACAAGAAGGTAGTGAGGTGGGAGGTGGCTGCCAGGGGCYGTGGTCTGGGCCTGAATGTGGGGACGCTGGGCGCAGCCTGGCTCCCSGCCAAGGGCCTGGAGGGGAAGATGGTTATCAGCTGAGATTAAATGCCAGGGCCTCCCTGGAGCTTGGGCCAGCAGGGTCGGGACTGCAGAGTCAGGTGACGCCGCAGAGAGGCCCTGGCTGGGTGAGGAGGCGGAGGCCAGGGGCCCCTTTTAGGGGGCTGCCTGCCCCAGGAGTGGTCCTGGGGAAGGGGCAGCAGGCGTGGAGAGTCCGGAAGCCTGCAGGCCCGGACGCGACCAGGGCRGGATGGAGGAGCTCTGGAGCCGCGGCAGAGTGAAAGCTGAGCCTCTCAGAGCGCCAGATGGCAGTGGCAGCGCCTCCTCCCMGGGGCCACACCACCAGTTGATGACAGTGGAGACTTGGCTGGTCACCGTACCCTCAGAGCAGGAGGGCCTGGGCCCAAGAGGTGCACACAGACCGAGGGCCACCTGCACAGTGGGCAGAGCTGGGCCTCAGAGCAGCAGCTTTGTGCAGCTGGGGCCCAGGAAGCTCTTCTCCTCCCTCAGTGACCCCAARGGACAGAAGACCCCACTGCCTCTGCCATCAGAACGTCACTCCTTGTAGAGCCTCGGGTGGGTCCCCTCTTGGCCCCAGCCTGGCCCAGGTTGGATGGGATGTGGTTGCCTGCTGAGGGGAGAATCCAGGAACTGAGTCCCCGCGG